ATATTATCATACAGCGAGCAGGATGTTCAAAGGCCAGTCTATCACGTCCAAAGCCTTGTGGTATTTCAATTAAGTCTTTGTCCAAAAAAATACTCTTCCTTCAAGGTGAGGAATGCAAAGCAGAGCTACCAGTTTGGGTCCTGGGGTACTGTTAGCCTGCAGCTTGGTGCTGCGTTTGGACTCAGAAGACCAATGTTTGTCCCAGCTTTGCCACTTCCTGTCTGTGTGGCCTCTGGACTCTCACACAGAAGGGTGGCCAAGGTATCGCCACACCTGGTGCCGACTTCATCAATTCAGTGGAGAGCAACAGTCCAATGGCGAGCCAAACCTCCTCTTTTTGTTTTCAGGTAATAGTTCAACTGCACTATCTCTGTGAGAACGGAGGGCCCCAAGAGCCTTAGCGGCTCATTTATTTGACTAAGGATTTTGTGTAAGTCCAGGTGGGCTGTATTGGTGAAAACCAGGCACAGAAAGGATTATTTCTTTCTCAAGCCAAATGCACAAAGACCAGTGGCTCTCAAACCAAGTTCCACAGGGATTCCTTAAGGCCACCATGGCAGCAACAGGAAACCAAATCACATTTCCTGATTTCTTTTTTATTTACATAAAACTCAAGACATCTCTGAATTTAAAAGTTTGTACAAAACGACTACGTGAGGGGAAAAAAGTTGTTCTGCTCTTTTCTGAACTAACCCTGGTGTCCTGGAACTCCCATCGTTCTACCCTCATGGTCCCGCCAGGCCCTGTTAAGTCCTTGCTCTAGGTTGCCAGGGGTTCTTTACTTGGCTTCCCCCTCACATAGAGGTCTGTAAAAGTTTCAAGTTCACATTAGAACAGTTGAGTGAGAACTTTCAGCTTTGGGGCACAGAGGGCAGCAATCCTGTGACCCTCCCAGGCAATGACTCCATGTGCCCCCTTGAGGATCTTTTTCCAGGCAGAGCCCAGAAGGAGCCCACAGAACGGTGGCCACCATCTTCTCCCTCAGGGAAGGTCATGAAGAAGCCAGTGAGGAAGTTTTGCTTCAGCCAGTGAGGAGTTGTGGGATTGAAGGGAATTAGGTAACTATTCTGACTAATGATTGCTGCTCTTTGCCCTCAGCTATGGGAAGCAGGTGTGGGAGGGCTGTCCAGGGATCTGCACTGTCCCCAGGCACCCGGCCTAAGAAGGTGTTCTCTCTCCTCCCTGATGCTCATCTGCTCAGGAAACAAGCGCATCCGGAGCTGGGGGAGCACCCACAGGTCCAGGAATTCACAGGCCACATGTGCACGTGAACACATTCTTACGCGTATTACAGATAAATGGGTAACACACATTCACACGTGTGTGTATACCCCACCGACATACATGCAACCTCACACCCACGTGTAAATACACTCCCACACACACATGTTCGCATTCTCTAATGGCCAAAAATGCCAAACCTTATTTGATTTATCAACTTAGCTCTATGTATTTCTTCTGAGAAGTGTCTTTTTATTTTAATTGCCCATTTTTTGACTGGGAACTTTACTCTGAGGGCTCTAGCTTTTCTGAGTTCTTTATATATTCTAGATATTAGTCCTTCGGCTGAAGGACAGCTGGCAAACACGTTTTCTCCTTCTGTGTAGAAGGTTGGCTCTTCACTCTGTTGGTTTTTTCCTTAGGCAGAGAATCCGGATCAGTTGTTTCCCAGCTTGTTACATTCTCTGCACCCAGCCTTGAGGTAGGGGCAGGAGTCCACTGAGGTTTATCTCAACTGGAAGACAAGCCCCCCCTCGTTGCTGTTCCATCTGGATTCTCACACTGGGGTCCACTCCATTTTCTCCTGCATCAGTGTCCGGCAGCAGTTTCCCAGCCTTCTCTCAGTGGCCTTTCTGCCTCCAGGGCCTTGGAACTATCTCCGAAACTGAGACTGTTGATTCTTCTATCTCCCACAAGATGGTGTCATCCTTAAGGGTAGAGACTACAGTCTTTTCAAGATTTATGCACAGCTTGGAATGCAGAGGTGCTCAAGATTTATGGATGAAGCCAGTCATGGTGGCGCTAGTCTATAATCTCAGCACTCTGGGAAACTGAGGCAGGACAAACACAAATTCAACCCCACCCTTAATACCCTTAGTCACTTCATGAGAGTCTGTCTCAAAATAAAAAATAAAAGGCTGGTGGATGTGGCTCATGAAAGAGGGAAACAGGGAGAAAGAAAGGAAAAGAGGAATAAACATTTTCCACCTTTGCCAAGGTGAGGAAAATTTATTTTATTTCAGTGTTGATCCATTTTTTAAAAAATTTTATTCATTTACGCTTTGCTATTCTTGACGATCATATTTGTTTTTCTCTCCAGAGGCACTGGCATTGTTGCAGAGGTCTGACTACTCAACTACTGATTGACAGACAATAATGGCAGCTGGTTCTTAGCTTCTGCAAGGTCTGTGTACCACCCCTGTGTTCTCAACTCAGTACTGTCCCTGAGCTGTCTCCCCATGTCACAGATAGGAAATAGGAGGCTGGTGAAGAAGGCAGCTGAGATTTGACCCAGGCGTTATCTGATACCGGAGCTTCTGCTCACAGACCCTGCGGGCGGACACCTTCACTTCACTCCACTGTGCGCGTCATTCCGGCCTTACATCTGCTTGGACTTTCTGTCCTGCACTTCCCTCTCAGACTCAGAATCCACACTCTTGTATACTCTGCACTGTCCAATGCAATGGTGCCCTCCAAAGTTACCTCCAAAGGTTACTAATGACTTTTTAAAGCATGTTTTAATTGTTTATTTTCTACATCATTATGCATTCGTGGATTTTTATCTTGCTATACTGCAGGATACTACAGTCATTATCGATTGGCTGTCTGATGGGTGTTCCAGTCTGTCCATCTTTGGCCATCCTTTTCACGGACACTTGGATTCTTTTGAAAGGACTGGGATCATGTTTGGCTTCCTTGCTTTCAGGCTGAACAAGTCTCCTCAAGCTCATCTTACACATTTCCCTCCCACACTAGAATCAAAGGCGCTGATCCTTTCAGTAAGAAAAGACATTTAGAACACAGGAGTAGGAATAACCACTGATACTAGGTTGCTCTTCCTTCTGTCTTTTCAACAGATAGAGGTGAAAAAGAAGTAATTTTTAAGCAAGATAATAAATCGTTAATTCTCACTGGCATCTTCAATTCCTTTATAATTTTACTTTTAAGGCTGGATGTCTTGAGTACTAACATTATTAAGTATCTAAATGATTTTATTTATCGTAGCATAAAATGGACAGAAGTTTCAAACTCCTAAAACTAGCATTTAGGTGCATTTTTCATATGTTTTATTAGTACATATTTGTAGTACATAATGTCTATATTCCTTGCAGGGAATTGGTACTAGTCCAGACATTTAAACCCCTTTAATGTCAGTACTACGACTAACAAAACCACTACTGAACACAGTTTGAGATTTCATGTGTTTTTCCTTTGTCCTCAGCATGTGCCACCAGGGAATATAAAATCAAAATATTTGGCACAGGTCATTTGCAATAAATTCACAACCATGAGTTTGTTACTAATATAGTAAGTAGCTCAGTTTGTTGGTTTCTGTTTTATATGCAATTTTAGAGATCATTTTGTTTCATTCTTTCTTTTGATTTACTTTTTTAAAAAAATATTTATATATATTCCAACATTAAAGCTATAAAACAAGCTACATACAGAGAAGTTTAGTGTTCTTTTTTTCCTCACTCCTCTATCTTCTTCCAGGCATTAATTTTCAAATCAGTATTTGCTTTAGTCTTCTGTTGTCCCCATGTGAAAACATTAACAAACAAGCATATTTATACATATTTCTAAGACAACACATACATTCTGCTGTATTTTTGAACAAATTTCCCATATTCATAAATGGAAATTGGATAAGTGAGACAGGGAGACAAAGAACCATTGTGTTCACACTAACTTCATGAACTGCAAAGCGTCTCCCACTGTTATTCCGGACCATGGGGTCCCATAGGATGGAGGAAGGTTCAAGTGGGGAGACCAAGCGAGGGGACTTGGGGACCACCGTTACCACTTCAGCCCCAGCAGCACCAGTTTTGTTCTGCATCATTGACATACAGATCAAAGTGGGTCCAACAAACGGTTTTTGTTACTAAAAGAAAAATTCTGAGAGAAAATGAGCCCAAGTCAACTATCAACCCAAACCCACAGATAGGAGTGGCTTCTGGGAGCCCCCACTTCCCGTTAACCTCACAAAGCAGCAAAGGCTTGCAGTCTGGGACTGTCTGAACCTGAGTCCCAAGAAAACCCTCTGGGATGCGAGAAGAGCAGCAACTCACCCATGAGACTGAAGAGGGCCCGAGAAACCACCTGTCCATGCCTTCATCTAAATGAATCCTTTATGCACATTTACAAACTGACTTTAGCTCCAATTGGGGGACAAGAAAATGCAAAGGAAATGAAAAGACTTCTAGAAAGCAAAGAAAACCTGTACAGTTCTTGTTATAAAATTAAAAGTGCCTTTTATAGATGTGTTAAAAATTAACTCAAGAGTTGGCTGCCCGGATGGAAAATAGGTGACAATGAGTTGTTTTTATTTTTTGCTCTTTGCCATATCCTACTATTACAAGCTGGCACAGCCACTCTTGGAAGTGGGCAGGCAGCTTACACGAACACTACATAACACATATGTGTCCACAAATGGCCTGCCCTCAGTATTGCCCTAGTTCATGGCACAATTATTGGTCCATAGTAGGTGCTCATTAGAGAATTTTGGAATGGATGAATAATATAAATATTTTGTCCTAATGAACTGAAAGGATAGGAGTCCAAATCTTGGTTCATCACTGTAGAAACCTCTCAATCTCTAGACCTGTGACAGAAGTGGGGTCAAAGTAGAATTTTGCATGGTTAGTGTTTTCCCTTCCCAGATCAAGTGGGTCAGAAGGGAGCTGTGTCCCAAAATGCTTTGAATCTGACATGTAGCTAGGGGACCGCACAGCTGTAAGAAAACCCTTTGTGAGGTCATCATTCCACACTTACTGGATGTCCCCAGATGGAGACATGTAAAATCTTTGGGGAGCCATGCCTCACTTTGTAGCCCCTCTTTTAAAAAATGTCATCATCAGAAGTCAGTTTGATAGCATCAGGAGGAAGCAATGCCTCCAGTATCTGAAGACCCTGAAGTCTCTGCGATATGATGGATTTCAGACTGTGTACTTTGGGGAAACGGATATCTCAGAAAGTCTTGTCACTGGGGAAGATTTTAGTAATGGCTATTTCCTGCAAGGTCCAACTTGGTGTGTTGTGCATGCTGGTGGCTGTCAAGGATGGGTGCCTTGGAAATACCGGATGTTCCTGAGAGATGAGCTGTGTGTCAAGCAAGAAGACAAGCTATTCTTTGAGTTCTGTGACATAGTGAAGAAGGCTTATGGGAAATGTGCTATCGTGGTCAAAGGGAGAAGGCAGCAGAATGAGATGAGACCCAAGGAAGATGGAGAGGCTGAGGCCCAGTCCTATGTCCCAGCTGCGATTAACTTAACAAGCATTGTGTGCTGCCCAGAGGTGGCCAAATTCCATGGCCATGAGCTACTCTCTCTGCCTTCCCCATATCATTACCTGAATCCTTTAGACTCTGCTTGGTCCTCTCTGAAATGGTTTATCATCAATAACAGGAAACAATTTTGTTTGCATTCCATCGACAATGTCTATTCCTACCAGTATATACTGTTTAGTGATTTAATTAGTAAAGGGATTGAGAGGATAAACTTAAGCAAATGGAAAACAATAGTTAAAAAAGTACAGAGATGGGAAAATTACTATCTTGGGAAATTTTCTTAACAGCAAGTCCTCCAACAAACAGTGAAACTCTGCTATCTGTATACCAAAAAGTTTGTTAAGATTTGATCATGGTACCAAAGATAGTGACCTCACAGGGACACTGGGGGACTGAGAGGTTCTGAAGGATGTTGACAAAGCGCTGAGTTTACTGAACGTTTCATTAAAATTTATTGGTAAATTAGGGGTCTTACCACTTGTCTCATTAAGGCTACTTTGAGAGCCAAATCAGTGGGAAGTTTGGTGTCAACCTTGCACAAAGTAGGATGGTTGTGGGTTAGGTGAGCAAGATTAAAGACTGTATGGTCAAAATTTAAGTTTGGGGGGGGAAAAGGAGAACAAAGTGTGTGATTACAAAAATGTCAAAATTAAGCAGTAGGCCAATTAGTTTCAGCCCAACAAAATAATCCAGCCGGAGGCAGCTTCCCATTGTCCAGACGGTGGAGAAGCAAGATACTTTCCTACTTATTGTTATTCCTTCCTCATGAGCAGGGTGGTGGAGGACGGACAAGAGGCATCTGAGGAAGTGTAACTCCAGTGAACAGGTTGGGGGTCCCACCAAGGGAGCTGGGGCAGAAATGGCAGTGATGGTTCCAGTGGCACCTGGGTAAACAGGTGACTAGAAAGGGGCTCTGTGACCCACTAATTGAACTCCAAGCATCCTAACAAGAGGCCACTAGTCTCTGTCTTGGAGCTTCCTTCCTGGACCCTAACAGCGGAGCCACCCTGTAGCTGGCACAATACCACCCTCTTCAGGTTTAGGGTACCTGCTAATGGAAATTATAGGATGTGTGGTTGTGTTTTGCACACTGATAGGGGGAAAAAAAGCCTGAGCTCTATTTAAACACAAGATAACATTCATTCTCACTTATATAGGTTCAGGCAGTAATTTTATAATTGTAGCAATCATTCTGAAATCTGCAAAAAATAACATATGGGATAATGAGGAGGGCTGTGGAGCGGGAGGTATAGGAGAACTCGGTACTTCTTGCTCAATTTTTCTGTGACCCTAAAAGTAGTTAAAAACTAAAGTCTATTTTAAAATAATGTTGGCTTCATTTTAATTGCTGGCTTGACTCTTAAAGAGGCGACAGACCATGAAGGAGCTATAATCATTGGTAGATTAATCCACGGACGTTCATAGCTGAAATGCTGGTAGGAGCTGGGATCCAGTGGGTAGCTGTGCCTTTGGAAGATGCATAATTTGCTGGCGCTCTTCCCACAGCTTCCTGGCTGCTGGGAAGTGGGCCGCTTTGTCCCCCAGGCCCTGATCCCATGATGTTCTCATCTCCAGGCCGGCTCAACTCTCTGAGTTTACCAAGCCAAACCAAACTTCTCCCTTCAGTGGTGGGTAGTGGGTAGTTGGTGTCAGCAATGGGAAAACTGATTAATACAATTTAGAAGATTTCTACCTGACTTCCAACAGGCTGCACTATGGAAAAGACTCTGAGGCTGGGTTCCAGACTTTCCCTCCTGAATTTCCCTGTATTTTTCAGAAAGACTTTGTCAGCTGAAGATAGATGTTAAATGCTTTTTGGCAACTAACTGGTAGATTTCTTCAGCCTTTTGTCATTCTTAAAAACGGAATCCAAGTATGTATTTTATCTGGGAATGAGTCATACCCAAGATAGTCAACCACTCAGAACTACTAAGTTTCCATTTTTGGGGCCAGGGATTAAGCTCAGTGGCGTAAGCACTGCCTGGTAAGTGCAAGGTTGTGAGTTCAGTTCTCAGTCCCCCAAAAAAAGTGTCCATTTTTCAGATCCTGCTTTACAGCCAGTTGTGCTGTATCAGTTTCCTGTGGTTATAATAAAAAAGGACCACAAACTTGGGGCTGAAAACAACAGAAATTTATTCTCTCTCTGTTCTGGAGTCCAGAAGTCAGAAATTAATTCCAATGAGCAAAAATCCAGGTGCTTCTTCCAGAGGCTCTAGGGAGAAATCTGTTCCTTGCTTCTGGTCGCTGCCTGCATTCCTTGGCTTGTGGCCTGGCTTGCGGCCCCGCACTCTCTCCCCTTCTCTATCAAATCTCCTTCTACTTTCTCCTTATGAGGACACTAATAATTGAGAGTTGAATGAATATTCAGGGCTCATCTAGAGACTCCAGAATCATCTTCAAATTTCAACGTTCTTATCTTGATAACATATACAAAGACTTCTTTTCCAAATAAGATAATGCTCAGGCTCTTCAGAGTAGGATTTGGATCCCTTTAGGGACCATTAATCAGCCAAACACTGCTGCTGAAAAAAAAAACTGCCTAATGAAATAGTGCTTCTCCCAATGGCAACTAACTTGGTGAAACAACCCTTATTACATAGTATATCCGTGTGATCTTTTTCTCTTATCTGTTTTAGGGTTCAAGTTCCATGAGATCAAGTAATAGTATTGTTATGGGTTGGATTTAAAATGTCCCCCAAAAGGCTCATTTATTCAAAAGTGTGTCTTGTAGGGGTGATTAGATCATGGGGCCTCTACCTCTGCCTTTACCTCTGTATCTTCCTGCTTTCTTTCCTTCTCAGCTGTCATGAAGTGAGTAACTTTGCTCCAACACACCATTCTGCCATGGTATTTCTCCTGGGAGCCAGTCAACCACAGACTGAAATCTTTGATACCATGAGCCAAATAAACCTTTCATTAGTTAAGTTGTGTATGTCAGATATTTTCCCCATCAGTAGACAGCTGACTCACACGGTATGTAAACCATCTTGGTCACTTTATTGTGCTATCACTGTAAGACCCAAGTGTGAGTGGCCTGAATTTGGGGAAGTGAGTGGGGTTTGCCCCCACTTCACACTTACTGCACAGCTACTGAAGTCCTGCCATAAGCACTAACAGCTGCGTTAGGAGCCAGTAAGACATAGTGGAGTCTGATCTTGACCCTCCTATGACTTCTAGGTATATCAGTATAAGTATACCAGTTACCCACTGAGTTAAATGAATTGACTTATTTAACCCTCACCACAGACTAGAATGTAGACATTACTATTATCTACACTTTATAAATGTGGAAGCCCTTGGCAAAGAGAAAATATGTAACTTGCTGCTGTGCAGAGAGCTAAGATTCCAACCCAGGGTGCACAGCCAGCCAATAGCAAGAGGCCTGTATACTAGTGAGCAGCTCGTGTAACCCTAACAATCCAAAGCAGGTGCTATCATGTCCCCCGGTGTACAGACGAGGAAACCAAGGCACAGGAAGTCACTGAAGGTGTCAGATTCTAAAGCCCTCGTTCACAGCCACCACGCTTAGCTTGGGTCTCAAGACCTTCCTTGTCTTGAGACAAGTAAGTCTAAAAGAAAGAAATAAGAAAATCGAACCAGACAGCAGCTGTCAAAATGGTCATCTACATCTGAACATCATAACAAAAATCTTTTTCAGTGAAAAATTGAGGGTGAGGGCAGAATAACCTTTTAAAGTTGTATAATTTTGCAGCAAGAAAAATAATTGAAAGTTTTTAGGTTATCAGATGAACAAGAGAAACCAAACAGGAGCTATTTTTGTTCGAAAAGCAAGACAATAAAATTAGTTGAGACACAGATTCCTTTGAGGCCTTGTTTAATCATTAGGAAAGCAAGCAGAGGAAAGAGAACATCAATATATCCAGAGAGATCAAAAGGGCTACCTTTAATGTGCAATTTAGTTACATAAGATGGGATTCATAATTAAGATGTTACTTTATCCCAAGCATGGAAACTTCCAACAGAAAGTAAAAGAAAGTACACTGGGCTGTGGGAATGCAGTGAACCTAGTTGGAATCCCAAGTTTGCAGTTGATTACTTGTGAGACTTTGACTAAGTTGCTTTACTTCCCTCAGGTCCATTTAACTTATGAGTAAAACACAGATATCATATATGGCAAATCATTCCATCATGTCTAGAACTTACTAAGTGCTCAGAAAACTGAAGCTTGATTCCTGCCCAGGCTGAGGGCAAACCAAATGTATCTATAATTAGACTGAATGTCACTGACCTCATTTCCTTTTTACCCTTTGAGGGAAATCTTTGCGACTTTTTATCACTGGGATACAAGAGTAGGCACATCTTAAGACACTCTGATCACAGGAAACTGTTCTCTGGCATTTCTTTTAAGACCATCTGCAATAGGTTAGGGAATCAATAATGAGGTCTTCTATGGTAGGAATGGGACAGGGAGCCCAGAACCTCTTTGGGAAGAGTGATGTTTTGTGCATGGCATGAAATTAATATGGGTGCCAATTCACAGCAACACCACACATCTGCAGAGAAGATGGCAAAGAATTCCTGAGGTCAGTGGCTCTGGCCTGTGCCACCGCCAACAACCACATCCCCACTCACTTCAGTGGAGCAGGCGGACTCCCAAGGAGGTGCATATCAGAAAATGGAACAAGTCCAAAAGTAAATAAGCAAATGCGAAGGATAGAGCCCTGCATGGCCAACCAGGGGTTGAGTGGCCCACCCAGGTTGTATACACTCCTTCTAGGTTGATTATTTTGCACATACAGTCTTTTGTGGACTTGACCTGACCACCACTGCATCTACAGAAGGCAGCACAATGATTATCAAGCTTATTCTACAAAGACAAAGCTGGGACACTAAGTGACTCACAACCAGTGACAGGAGGGTGAGGACCAGTATCCAGGTCATCTTGTGCCAGCGAGAATTAGGTTAAACTATGAGTAGTCCACACACTTGTCAACAAAATACAAAGCACCCCATTCCCACCACCAAGGTGGCAGTTCAGGAGCCAGGTGATAAGACTCATGGTCATCAAGAGCCCAGGGTCCTATCTCTTAGCTTTATTTTTGGTCACTTATCAAGATGGGAGAGGTGTGGGCAGCAAGGGCTGAGTCCAGGGCCTGCTGCTGTGGAGTCATGGGCAGAGTTACTGGAAGAGGTGAGACGGGGTCCAAAGACAGAAGACAAGTCCTCATCATGAGGAGGTAAAGGAAAAGATGGAAGCCCACACAGAAGCACACGGGTGTAAAACAGTGAGGGGTCATGGTTTTAGACTAAGCTCTGGACTAGGAACCCTCA